CTCTGCAGGGCCGCAGGGTGAAAGGAAACCTTCTGGTTCTGGTGACATAACGTCTCTGCACAGGGACGTCTCCCCTGGTGCCGTGCCACGCTGAAGCATTTTGCACAGTGATGTGCTTCATGTGGCCTGGTTTTGCAGAACAGGGTGGCTGGTGCTTCCCAGCAGAGATCCCTGCTGCCTGCTTGTGGCCCAGCAGTCTTTGTCCTGCTGAGTCACACCTGGCAGAGCGTTGATGCCAGCCTTGCTCGAGTCCCTCGCTGCTGCTGGTTCCCTTCGTGATCAGCTCATGACCGGAGCAGAGGGAGCCGTGCCCAGGCTTTGGGATTGTCACTTAGGGACCACGTGGCTTTACAACTCTGCATTTATTTCCTTAACATACTATCTGCAGCTGGGCAAAGGTAGAAATGGGTGCTTACAGGGAAGTGGCTGTTGTGGGGCTGTTGAATTGGAGTCATCAATTCTGATCGTGAGACGTTCTGTATATCAAAGTTCCTGTCAGTGCTGTTTTATCTGGATCAGCCCATCAGCTGCAGGTGAGGTCAGGGAGGATGCCAACATGCTGCTGTGGTTCATGTAACAGGCTGGAAGTCCCTCCTGAGGCCAACACTTCCTTGTGCAGCACCCGGAGAGAGGCAGCCTCTGCCCCAGAAAGTCTGGTCGCTTCTGGCTGATTCCCAAAGTTCTTGTGACTTGTCTTTTTAGCAGAAGCTTTAGCTTGGGTATGCTCCAATGCTCCCCTCTTTTCTCTGGAACTTGCAGTCAGGGTCCTGTTGAGATGCTGCAGACAAGGTTTAGGGGATGAAGTGCAGAGCTGTGGGATGCACACAGATTGTGTTGGCAGCCAAGTCCTGGGGAGATTACACAGAAGGGATCTGGGATTCCCGGGCTGTGAGGTGCTTGGCTATGGTGTCCAAACGTGGAGACAGCATTGTGCCAAAGAGGTGATGAGCTGTGGGTGAGCACACAGGGCAGGAGCTCGCTTGAGGAGGGTGGTGCAGGGAAGTGGGGATGTCAGCAGTGTTTGAGGCTGCTTCTGCTGGGTGCAGGAATTCTAATAAAGTGATGGTTTGTCAGCATGTGCCTATGAGCGGATTTAGAGTGGAAGGGGATGGAATGGGGCTGTGTGGAAGGTGATGCTCTAGAGAACAAAACTGTGTCCAGGTTTGTGAGTATTTGGGGGAAAGCTGCCTTCAGCAGACTCAGACTTAGCTTTTGGTTTGTGAGGGCTGTGAGATAATAAAGCAACAGGATCTTAGCATGCATGGAGGACAGGGTTTAAGTCCAGGACATTTTTTTTCCTTGGGGATATACTGACACCTGAACTACTGCAGTAATTTGGCTTTTCCACAATGAAGGGTATGTGGACTTTTATGGGGAGAGGAAGACCAGAGGGTTGTCAGGTTTTGGAGGGGATGGAAATGTTCGTGGGGGAAAACACAGCAGCTGAGAGCATGTGTAAATGGCAGCAAGGAGCCCCAGCTGCATTCCTGAAGGCACTTTTCCCATCACTGTGGTGGCACTCTGCCACCCGGCTGTGAGCCCAAAGCTGCCTGGAGAGCAGCACAAAGGAGAACTGGCACAGTGTGGGCTGGGAGGAGCAGGGTGCAAGTGTACAGCGCTCCATCACTGAGGGTACCAGGGATCTGTGGGGTGCTCACTGCCCAGGGCTGGGCACAGGAGTGCCCAGGGCATGGCTGGGCTCTGGTCTGTGGCCTCTGATTCCTTCAGCCAGGTCAGCTGTGCTGGCTGCATCTTGCACCTCTGGTCTGGTCCCTTCCACTCCAAAAGAGCCCCCACAGAGCACTTTCCATCTAGGATGTTAACAAACTCCCTTGCTGTCAGCAGACAGACAAGGGCTTGGCTGTCTTTTGGGGAGATGATGTGCTGAGAGGAAATGCAGTAGCCTGAAAAACATGTATGAGATTGGGTTAGGTAATTTCGTGGCTCCCCGGGCTTTTGAGCTCTGCCGTAGGAACACGTGTCACTGGGTTTATTGAGGATGAGTGTTAGACCACCAGTGATGTCTGACTGCTATTCAAAAACTTGCTGTGTCCCATTTGCACTGAGCTCCAGTGCTTGCTGCAGGGCAACAGAGAGCATGGAAACAAGTAGAGAATATCATGGCTCACACTGAAACTCTTCGAACAAAGGCTCCTAAGCCACTGGAGTGCTTGGACAGGCTCTTCCATTAAGAAAGGGAAACAGGATGGAGAATGGAAAACTGGATCCTCACCTATCTCATTGTTACCTTCTGTTTATTCAAGTGATTTTCTGGATAAAGCAGCTGTTCCATAGGAGTATGGGTTAATGGAAAACTGGATCTTAAGCTTTCTCATTGTTACCTTCTCTGTTTATTCAAGTGATTTTCTGGATAAAGCAGCTGTTCCATAGGAGTATGGGTAAGGATAAGGAAAGCTTTCTAGCTGATATCACCTCCTAGAAGGTGTAAGGATGTACTTACAACAAAAGTAAGGGAAAATAGTTGTAGCTTTAAAAGAAGCATCTTAAGCAGAGTGGTGGAGAAACTCATCTATCTGGGAAGGCACAACAGGGCCTTGGTGAGATCTTTGCCACGTTAGGAAGCTGCAGATGACAGCCTTGAGAGCTACCCTGTGAGCATGTGAGAAGCTGCTTGTAGGGTGGCTGCAGTGGAAGGCTGTCACCTCCTGTCCCTGGCTGGGGAGAGCTTTTGGGAGAGAATTAGCCCAGCCTTTTTTTGTGATGCATCTAAATATCTTCATCTACTGAAATGCACGGGCTGGTATCTGCATTATCCTTTCTCCATTACTGGCAAACCCCAGATTAGAGTGACTGACCAAGCTCCTGTGCAGCTCTCCTGAACCAACAGCTGCTGCATCAATATATGGAACAAGCAGAGTACTAATCCCTGGAGACTTAAAGTGGCTTTGTATGATAGGGAACAGAGGGACAGTAGCACTAGTAATGGTGTGGAGTCCTTGTGCAGCAGCAGAAGTTTTCAAGTCCTGAAAATGAAACAATTTGACAATAATTATACTGTAACCCTCTTGCTGCTGACCTATCAGCACCACTGGACAGCTAAGTGAGTTACACACAGTTCTCTCAATTTAGACCTCAACAGAGCCTGTTAGGGATTTAATTCAATCAGAAAACACAGCCTAAGCATTAGAGAAGACTTCACTTCAGAATTCAGTAGGGTTTATTCTACAAATCTTAGATCAATGCCAATGATACAAGTTTTATGAATTCTCATTAAAAATACAAGTCAGTATAAAGATTCCAATAGTAATATAATGCATGATGATTCAGTTTCAAAATTTAAGGAATGAATCTGTGTTTTGGACCATGCTACAGAAAAGGGGAACACAATGTAGAAAGAATATTTCATTTACCTCCCTTTACTTGAGGAGGGGCCTGTGCCTTATTGCCACAATACCTGAAAAAGCAATATGAAGTGCATAGCAGCCTTGCCTGTACAGTCTCTAGGCAAAACTGTTGAATTTAGTATCAGTCCTTCTCCCCCTAGTTCTGGTCATTAAAGTACATTTTGATAGCCTGATATCATTGTAATAACTTAAAGCTATTGCAATACCATCCCCAAAATGGTTATAAACATCAGTCCTTGGAGTAAAATGTTCTTGTGATGCACTGACACTTTTTCACCATGTTAACAATTTTGCCCAGTCTTTTCAGGAACATTAAATACATTCCAATTAAAGGTGAATTAGTTCCATATTCAAAATTCTCCTAGGATTTAAATGAAGTCTCAGTGCAGTCTAATATTTAAATGTGTTGTTCATAGCTTCAGGCACAGTTAGAATGTAAATCAGACCTGTATTCTTGACCCTAGCCCTCTGATATGATGAAAGGTGTGCTAGCTTTCAAGGAACAGCTGGAATTTGGCCCCAGAATTGCTAGACCAAATGCTTTGGACGGGGGGAGAACAAAACTACCCTTTTTTTTCTGGGAGCTGCCTGCACTTAGAAGGGGATTCGGCTTCATAAAGCCACACCCTAAGCCTAAATTTTAGAGCAAGTTTAGCTCTCACAAGAGGTAACTCTTGACAAGATGTGCACCTCATCCCCCAAATGCTGTAGTACATCTGTTTATTCCCAGTGACATTCTCACCCTGTCAAGACCAGTGGGCATCTGTGGTTGAGCCCAGTCATTTCCTGTAGCAGAACCACCCGGACGGCGCAGAGCAGGGATCATGCACGGATCTGCAGCAGCACACAGGGAAGGAGGCTGAACAATATGCACTCAGTTCTGAACAGGACTTTGGTGCAGACAGTGATGCTTAACTGAAACACAGCTTTTACCAAAATATTATAGCATAATACAGAAATCTGAAAGAAAGGGGTCAAAGAAGCCGCTGACTTCCATGCACCAGTTAAAGAAAAAACCCCTCTTGCATAAAGAGAGCAGCAGCACAGAACAAGCACCCACTTGGCTACACCAACACATCTTTTCTGCTGTAGGAATTTTCAGTAATTATCCACCCAACATCATTCTACCATGTTTTAGCATCATACCAAACTGTAGTATTAAGCCGTCATGCAGGTTTGGGGAATTTCTTCTGCTGTACTAAACATTGCTGTGCTTGCTTTGAATACAATATTGTCAGTCTGATTTGTCTTTGTAGTAGATGCATCTTTAACAGTCACATTTAATCTGAAGTAAAAAAAAAAGTTCAGCAGCCCATACTGGGCTGTTGTCCAGTCAAAGTGACAAAAAAATACAAGGTTGTCATTAAACTGCATATATTCTAGAAAAGGGGGTTACTTTGCATTTAAATCACATTTAATACAAGACAAGTTGGTCTGAAACTGTGAACCGATTCTATTTAGAACAAAGTATGGCACAGATTCCCAATACCTATGGACACTGTAAATAACACATTTTTCTCTTTGCAATGATTATCAATTCGCCAAAAACAGTATAATAGTCAAAAGGGAAGGGTGAAGGAAAACAGATTTAGGAGAAGAAATAAAAAATGCCTAAGAAGTGAAAATAAATGACTTCTTTTGTAAGAAACTTTATTTAACTTCATTTTTAAAAATGCATTCTCTCCTCAGAACAAATGCCACCATTTAAAAAAAAAAAAAAAGACTGCAGTAGCACACACTTGCACTCAAAAGGAAACATGCAAAACTGATGGCTGAAGATTTTTTGCATAAAAATCGAAGACGTCAGGCAAAAGCTTGCCCCTGTGTACCTTTAGGGACCCCAGACCATGAACAGCTTTCAGTGCAATGTCTCTTGTTTCCAATTGGTGGGGAAACATATGGCAGGAGCTTGTCTTCTGACAGCTACACTCTCCCAGATGTTTGAAGCAAAAACAGTCTCAGGTATGTTTTAAAACATCATTGTTAAACTGTTGCAGGAAATACAAACAAAATTCAAGAAAATGTCAGAATCCAGTGAAGAAAAACTTTTGAGATCTACCCTGTGCCATACACTTCTTAAAAAAAAATTAGACAGAAAAACAAATTTTATTAATACACCCTCTTTAAATTTTTTATTTCTGAAAGCAGCTTTTTATGCAAATCAAAAGCAGTTCCTGAGTAACTGCAGTAAACAGTGTCTTTTAAATATATTTGCGCCTCAGCTCTTCCGTTTTGGTTCTTCCTTGTTTTTCTCCCCAGTTTTCAAGTTTAATCTCAGTTCTTTTTCAAAAATGTGCAAGTTCAGTTAGCATCGTTTCCAGAAGTCCACAGCTTGCAGGTCTTCCTGCAACAACTCTAAGATCTGCACATACCTAGGCTGTAGTCCTACCCTATTGCAGGCTTTGCTCTCAGACTGTACAGGATGTGCCCTCACGTCTTCTTCAGCATGCGCCGGGACTGCCACGTGTGGAACTTATTGTAGGCTGTCTGCAGCATCTCTTCTATATGACTTACCAACTGAAACAGGAAAAGGGAGAAAACAGTGTCCCAGCTGCTGGAAAACAGATCCCCTCCCCCTCCTTTCAGGTGCATTCTTCCTTTTATTCACTACCAGTAATCTTGCTAAAATCAGAGAAAGGACTTTGAGGCTCTCTTGCAAAATATCCATAGAGGGAGCAGTGCAGAGAGCTGCTGAACTGAAAGGTAAGGGGGAAGTGACACCTCATTGTGCTCTCTGTTCTGGTATTTAGTCTGTGACTGCTTCAAATCTGACATGGAGGGAGAGTTCTGAAGTTGTTCAAGTTCTGCTTCATGGTGGAAGTCAAAAATGAAATGTGACTTCCTCTTTCTGTTCTATCACTCCTGTAATTTCAGGTTACAGTTCTTGTCAGTTGCTGGCATCCCTCAGCAAATTGGACAGGGAGAGACGACAGCTTACCTGTGCACCCAATTTCCCTCTGCCCATTTCCCAGTCAACAAAAAAATTAAAGTGCCCTAGGATAAGAAGTAACAAAGCTATCATTCTCTCATAGTTAAGAATGAAATTATTAATGTGCACCCACATAATTAAACAGTACTTCCCCCTTACATTTGTGCTTAAATATTGTCTCCGAATCTTTTCTTGGAATGGGCAGAGTTTTGTAACCTGAAATCTTTCTAAGTTGCTCCTCATTTTCACAACCTGAGAGAGACAGAAACCAGTATTACAATACTGAAGAATTACAGAAAGACAGAAGTTTCATTTCCTTTAACAAACTGTTCTCCAACAAAACACCTTATAACTAATTCTGAGGGCTACTTCAACTTTGTGTAGTTTAAGGAAGGAAAGTTATTCCAATATCAGTCTCTAACACTTCTCTGTATTTTTGAGATAAGTGCAGTGTGCCACTGTGATTACCTCCTTAATAAACACTATAAAGAGATACAAGATATTCACAAAATACTTTTTGTTTCAAGCAAAGACTGGGTTTTCAGTCCACATTTTGCAGCAGACGTGCAAATGTATCTGAATGTAAATTTTAATCTTTGTTATCCACGTGAGGTCAAAGTAATACAAAAATAGTTACAATCATAGACCTGGCTGTAGACAAAACATCTGTCCTTGAAGGCAACTTAGTTCTCAAAAGCAATGTGTGTTCTGAAGGTATAACAGTGATTTTTGCAGTGGATAGAATAAGGGGAACTTGGTTGTGCTGTCACTGTGGAGGTTATTTCTTGGAGCTGGGGAAGGGAGGCTTTAGTTTTTGTGTTTTAAAGTGGAATGAGACCCCTGCAGCTGCAACTGAGCTGCCCATTCTGTTTGAAATTGGCTAACAGCTACTGCTCCTGAAGGGAGCTAACAGGCAGGCAGGGACAAGGATGATTTTAAGGAGTAGTACCAGCAGAACTGCTGAGAAAAATAAGGTTTCATGTTACTTTGTGACTTTCAGTTCTAGGGATGAGTAAGTACTGTACAAATTTGAGGCATGTGTATTAGTTCTACACTTCGGTAATGACAGCCATTATAAACCATGGTCATTCAAACCACATCATAACCAGGGGCCATAAGAGGAAGCTCTGCCTTACCTTTTCTTCTAGGAATGGCGTGTTAACAGGAAAGCAGGACCAGAAGTGTCGTAGCAGTTCCCCTACTGCCACGTACAAGTGTTTTAGTTCAGACTGAATGTCATTTGGCACCATCTCTGCAACAGGAAAAAGGGGTTCTTTACATCACTGAAACGATCCTATAAAAATGAGAACTAAGGCTAACGAAGGAGCTCGGCGATGTGCACTTCCACTACAGTCACACAATGACTGGCTGGCAGGGGACACTGAGGTGCCTCACAGCAATTAGATCAAGACTATCAGCAGCTGTTAGATCAGGTCACCTGCTATTTATGGCTCTATACTTGGAAGCTTATGTATTATTTAGGAAGATCCATGTCAGGCAAAGAATGGACACCAAACCTAATCCAGGATTAGAAGCAACATATTTGTATTGTTCTAACAGTGTGGCAGTGCTGCTGCTGGGCTGTCCTAACAGCACAGTGTTAAGAACTCTGTGGTGGATACTTCAAATTTCTCCCTCTGTCTTATGTTGGCAGTATGGTTACAGCATGTGGAAGATGAAAAATCCAGACAGGAAAAAAGAACTGTGTCCCAGGCATTCTTAAAGAATAAAGGGTGACAGGGTTCAAGAACAAGGAAAGAGCCACAGCTCTAAAACCCCAAACAAAAAGTACAAGTAGTCACTGAGGATGAGCACAGTGAACTGAACAGTGAATATCAAATTTTAGGATGAGGCTGTTAAAAAAAAAGTGGTGGTCAGGCTCAAAGAAGTGAAGTGTAGCACCCAATATGTCAATCAGGATGGGTAAGAAAGCATCACCACTGCTTGCTGATTGCTTTTATTTCAGTACCATAAAGAACTCATACTTGCTTTTTCAGCTGTCTGAATTATTTTCTGCTGCTTTTCAGACCAAGATAAACTGGAAAACTGTAATAACTCCTGAGAACAGGGATTCATCTGCTGTGAGATTAAAGAGACAGGAACTCAAACAGGCAGCAATACAACAATAGGGAAAGGGCTGGTTGAATGGAGGTGTGAGAAGGAGAGGCTGTCTGATTTGCCCTTGCAGCCTACAAGGAAGTTGTGTTTTTTTTTTACAGCAAGCTGTGAATCTTAAATGCAGGCTTCAAAAAGCCTAGTTTCAGATGATTATCTAGGCTTTGCTTCTTTAAGAGTTTTCACAGAGTATGTTGTATTCTACAATCCAGGGGAAAAAAAACCCCCAATGCTGAACAAGTAAAACCCCACATCTGTGAGACAATTTGGTCTCTCTCAGGTGTTTCCTTCACTACTTGTGTAAAATGTTGTCTTGTTCGCTTGCCTCAGCACTGGTGTAGCCATTACCACCCCCCATGGTAATGGCTGGTGCTTTTCTTTTGTTGCTGTAACACAGTACTACTCCTGCTACACATTTCCATACTTTCCTTTATCCCTGTAACATATTTTGAGGGAGAGATGAAACAGCAAGCCAGCTAGTGCTGTGCAATGCATCAGGATATGATTAAAGCATTAGACATCCCAAATCCTTACGGTTTATGGCTTGCTGGGTTCCACCCTGCATAAGTGCTCCTCCAGGTGACAGGACTGCAATAGTGCTGGCAGCATCACCACTTGAAAGAACCTGGAGAGAAAGGGAACAAATATTTCAGGTCACTTTTTCTTATAAATTATTTTAAAAATAAGATTAGTTGAACACATACATGGAAGTTCAGGTTCTGCTCTTTTCCAGAATTATGTGCTATAGCTTGTTTGCAGTGAAAACTCTCCAATTAATTATAACCTTTTCTCTGCCTGGACCTTGAACAGGCTGTGCACTTACTCTGAAATAAGACAGAGTATTACAATGCAGAAGTGTAGCAGAATTGTGGCTGCTTTACTTAAGGCCAAACTAGGTTTAAAACAGATAAGTTCAGATGCTGCCTGGGGAGATTTCCCACAGGGCTCTGCTGCCCTCCAGGTGCCAGCACAGAGCTTCTCTGCAGCTCACAGCACACTGACAGCCTAAGTGCATTTAGGAGCAAAAGACCAGTTCAATTAAAAACCTGCTCACTGTAACCTCCTAAGCTTCTCAGGGTGGATGAATACACTGGCCTGTGCATGACTGTCCTGCTTTACCACCTTACACCTTTACCATTTCCTCAAAAGAAAGCAGGAACAGAAGAACATAACTGAGCAATGACTCAGTTTCCTATAGTGTAGATTTTAAACATAACAGCTCAAAACGTATCACCTAAACCTGTAAAATAAATCAGTTAATAGAAATTTGACATAATTTAAGTTTACCATGAAAAATTGAAACCTCAGTAGACATGAGACTATAGAAAGCAAGATGCTAAGCTAAGATCAAGAGGGGCATTTTTAAAATATACTTCCATACCTGAGTTAGTTTGGGTACATATGCTTCCATTTCTTGTCTAATACTATTAAATGAATTAATTATATCCTGACTGGTTGCATATTGCTGTGATTGAATTGGAGTTGGACCATGGTAATACCTGTGAGGTGAGAAAAGGGAAGGGAAAAGTGTTAGGCCAGGCAGCAGTCCAAACTATCCCAACTCCACTTTTTTTGCCTGGGATTGGATTTTTCTTGTAATTCCATATATTTTCATATGTAACACATTTTTCCACTGAAAGCTGCAATGATGTGCTGAACTGTGAAAAGAGCTCTGTTAGGCTTTCACAGAAATTACATGTCAGGGTCATCCAGGATGGCTTAGAGAGACTTAACCCTCTGAAAAGTAAGATGGAATTTGGCAGGGGTGTTGGACTAGATGATCTCCAGATGTCCCTTCTTACCCCAACCACTATGAGAAATAAAACTACAAATTTAAGGGGAAACTGGCTCACGCAAAAGCTCATATTAGGTTTCTAAACTCAGTTGTAACACACCTGAGTGTGGCACAGTAGGGACTAAATCAGCTGGTCTTGTGTGGGCTGTGATAAAGGCCCTGATAAACTGGCTTTGCTGAAATAGCTGTGCATTATTTTAACTTACCTATCAGACTTCTTTAAGTTTAGTGCAATAGTTTTAACGCTATTATTCTTTGATAAATCTTCGTATTCAATGGCCTCCTGCAGTTTTACCTAAAATTACCAAATAATGATACATGTTACTAATGAAGGCGCAAGTCCATACATCCAGTGCTTTCTTCTGGTGCATCAAGTTTGAGCTGAAAGGTTACTAAAACCTAAAAGAAAACCCATGGAATGACTCATGCCTACCCGCCAGAGGGAGCGATGCCCAGTGTTGTTCAGGATGGGCCATTTGGAGGACTTGGCACCTTTGCTTTTTCTCTAGATTCTGCTAAAATTAGGCAGTCCCTGCCACTTCCAAAATGTGTTCCAGATTAGCAGAAATACTAATGATTTAATAGCTGGTGCACAGGAGTCTAAGACTAAAACCACAGTAATTACCCCAAGCTATCTGGTGACAGCAGAGCTCTGGAGTATTAGCAGTGAGAGCTAACAGCACAGTGATACCAGACTTTGTACAACTAGAAAACTATTTCTGAAGTCTCCATTCTCCTGCTACTCTTTCACTCTCCTTTTCATCACACTTCTTCTAGTCTTGCTATATAATTTTCTACTCAGCAAAACTTGCAGCTTTTGAGGAAAGTCAAAGACTACCCCAACATTTACCAACACATGTATTCTACAAGGTTTTCTCCCAACACAACCAAGTTTTGATTCTCTGGTGCTTTCTGTTTAGGCTGTCAGCTCCAGGAAGAGTATTCAATTCAGTTTTATAGCAATTACGGTACTCTCTTCCACTCTGTGAGCTGCTCTGGTTAGTCTAGAGCACGCTGTTGCCCTGTATTTCATTGCACCAGGTGTCACTACACTCAGTTCAACCTCACTCCAGCTTCTGACTAAGATGAAGGCTGTCATGTGCCAGTTTCATCATCCCCTCCACAAGCAACACACTTGACAGGTTAATCTTGGGGCTTGAACACCAATATCCTTTTCTGATGGATGTTCTCTAGAAGTTTTCAGGCATTTGAAAGAAAAACAAGAGGAAGAGGGCCAAAAATAGGACTGAAGCAAATGGAAAGAACCAGATTTCTGAGTCCAGTCTGAAGTATCTTAGAATTTTTTTTGCTTTCATTGGGCACTACTGAAGAGATAAACAGCACAATTCTTCAATATGTGACTTATTTGTGTTTACTAACACATGTAACAAGGCTTCTTACAGGCTGTCAGGTTGTTATTCTATGTACTTCTAAACAAGGCTAAAAAAGTTTTACTTCAGATGTGTCATAAACCAAGTAAGGAACTTTCAGCAATTTTTTGAGAGACAGAGCTTCCAGTTCCATTCAGTTAGAACCACATCAGCTAACTTTATACCTTTTTCAGTGGTGGCTGAAAGAAATCTGAATCCCTGGAGTTTCCATCCGTACTGCTGGTCTCACTGTAATGGTCATTTTGTGCTTCTCTTAAAATAGAGAAACAGCATTAAGAAGAATTCACCTCACAGGAAACTTAAGATACAAGCTAGAGACAAAGTAAATACATCTGTTTCAAAAACTTCATACGCATGTTCACATACTTTTCTCCCCTTATGAATTCATTTCTAGCAGCTGGTGTAGACAGAAGGAACCAACTCCTCATATTAACCCTGTTTGTCACAGGGGACATTCAACAGCAGGGAAAGGTGCTGGTCCCTCTCTTCAGAAATAGCAGCATGCCAACAGTGCATGTGGGACACAGCAAAATCATGGCTAAACTAGACACTTTGTATATACAGTTATGCAACCAGGTATTAGCAGAGCTCTGGGAGCCCTGCAGCACAACTGTTCCAGGAGACCTATCCTGTTGTGCCTTTCTGAACTGAGAAACAGAAACACACTTTGCCCAGAAGAGATTGCTTAAGGTGCAGGGTTCAATTTGTGCAAAACAGAAGAACACTGTGAGGGAGCCCAGCTAAACAGAAGCAAGTATTAAGTAAGACCTCTCACAGTTAAGGTCTGTAGGATTTGGGTAGAGTATTAATCCTTGCTGGTTGTCCATAAAGCAGCCGTAGAGCAGATGACCTGACAGGTGGTTTTGGTCAGGGTACTGCACCTGAGGAGTCTTTCATCTGATGCACCTATGCCACACTGCAGGAAGCCCCAGCAGGCCTGCTCCTGGAAGGCAGGAAATAGGAACTCCCTGCACCAGACCTCACCTCCACTACTTCTGCTGCCTTCAGCAGGCCTAGACATCTAAGGCATACCCATACTTTTCTTTTTAATCTGCTTTATATAATAACTCAGTTCAAATCAGCAGTGACAATTTCAAACAGCTCTGAAAAACTTCTATAAAGTAAAATGAAACCTAAAGCTATTTTCATTTTTAGAGGAAAATAATTCATTCATAAAAAATTGAAAGAAAAGGTTGTATGAATAAGTGAAGATGTGCTTTTTTTTTTGGAAATTCCTTAAAATTTACTGCAAAAATCTATTACACAACTCTGAAACTTACTGTTTCCTGAGGCCAGCTGCAAGGACCATGGCACTATGATGATTAAAGCGTTTTATGATGGCAGCATTGCTGCTTTCTCTAGCAGACTTTGAAGCATTTGATGTAGAGGCCACAGAAGCAACACCATAGCCCTACGAAGAAAACAACATTAATTCCCTCTTGGCCCCCAGAGCAGCAGGACAATTCTGTTTTCCCTTGAGTCAGGAAGCCACCTCCTCTGCATCACCATCATCCAGAGAATCGTTTTCCTACTTTTACCCCACCATCTCCTTACGTACTTTGAAAAATCTCCAGTGATTATTTTGTTCTGCTAGCACTTGGCAATTTAGAGGTGTCAGAGAGAAGGTAGTAAGTCTTATACAGGTAATTTTATGGACCATTATATAAGTAAAAACAGAACTAGCTTAAAAAAAAAAATAAGGACCACCTGTGCAAAGTAGGCATTGATGGCAAGGAAGACAGCAATTGTTTTACTGACTGCTTTTTAACATCTAGTGGGACACCAGCAGCCTACAGGCTAAAATATACCTGTCAGGAGGATGTGATACCACTAGAAAATTCAAAAAACTTCAAACCTTAAAATGCTAGCAGAGTTCCCCACTTGCCAGGTGTCACTTTACCCCATGGGCAGTTTCATGCTTGCTGTCAATCAGCCTCAAAAGCAAATCAGGGCAGTTTGCAGAGCACTTCAAACACACTTATCCTAAACTCATGGTCCAGTTTCAGGCTGCTAGCTTTGGACAACTCCCACAAAAAAGAAAATAAAAAAAATACCACAAAAAACCTTAAAAATGCAGCATCATTATTAACTACAACTGAACAGTTTCAGTTACATCAATTGCAGAAAAGGACATCTCTGTGTTACTTCACATCATGGTGCATCATTGATATAAAAATTAACTTGTTTTTGGAGGCAGGTAATAATTCAAGTTAGTTGTAATTTTAGCAAAAAAGGTATTTGAAGCTAAACAAAGAACACTGTATAAAGTGTCCTTCAGTTAGACCGAATGAAGTAGCAGAGTTCAATGTAAGAACAAATCAAAGACTTTCTCCTGGTTTGTGCTACTCTTCTGTACATTGTCACAGACTTTAAAATGGAGGAAAAAATGAAAGAGTTCACTTTAGACTAAAAAGCCAAATGAAACAGTCATTCTTTAAAGGGAAGTCCTCTATTTACACCCTGCACACTAAGGCAGATGTGACCACACAGGTCCATGAGCACAGTCTCCATTTCCCTTCACACACACAACAGTAGCAATTGTTGAGTACCCAACCATTGCAACTGTCTAGTCAGGGATTTGTTTTAGAATTAGCATCTGTACTGGTTTTAAAAGAAAGATCCACTTAAATTTCATTGAGGAAGAGGTATGGTTTTCTTTTGGATTTTTATTTTGTTTTCTGCTTTGTTTCCCTAAATACTTACTTCATCTAATGTTTTATCTTCCAAAGCTGTTAAATCTATCAGAGGGTTTTTCACTCCTTGAGACACCATTGCTTTTAACCCTGTGTGAAACAAATTTTAAAAAATCATGAAAAACTGTATCTAAACAAAGAGCACAACTATGGGATCATTAGGTTATATTTAATCTTTAAAAGAAGACAGAGGTTCTGCACAGGCCCAAATAACACTGGGACTAAAACTTTAAACCCTTTTTAAAGTTCCATTTAAAATAAGCAATAAATGTGGGAAGTTACTCCACAACATCTTCCTACTAATTAGCCCAGTTTTCACCAACTTCTACACATCACTGAACACTGATTAAAAAAATTGAGATGCAGTTATAGTAGTGGGAACTGGGAAGCCAAAATTGCATTTATTCTAATTTTGGCACTGTTCTGCTGCCCTGCCTGGTTAGTATGACACTTTATATCTGGTGAGAGCTTTGACTTGTGAAGGGTTTTGCATTCCTAATAGAAGGCTTTCAATACATATTACGGAATGGTGGTAAGTGATCCAAGCTCTCCACATTTCTGTATCATCACAAACCTATCTCAAAAGTTCATAAAAAACTTGAGTCAGATAATATTTTAGAATTTCAGATTAAAAAGACTGACAAGAGAACAAGGATGATTTTTTTTTCCCTCTGGAAAATCTGGACTAAATAGGAATCTCATTTACTAAAACCCCATCCATAACAAAAGCTGTACCTGTTGTAAATTGTGCACACACCACAAAACAAAACCTATTGCACACACAGAATTATTCCATAGTAACTGATGGCACATAGTCAATCTACAAGGATAGCATGCTATGGAATTTGTAGTAAAGCTTGCTTCTAGTGCTGCCGCTTTCCAAAGGCTAATTCGTTCTAAGAAATGCTCTCACTATGAAACATGCTCAGAATGGCAAAGCTGTAGCTAACTTGCCATGACCATCTGTAGTTTTCAGAGACAACCAGCTTACCTTTCTCATCCAGTTTGGCACATTCTGCAAAGAGGTCTTTTGAGCCTGTATTGAGCCTGTCCCGATGAAAATAATGAGACTGAAAAAATCGTGTCCAGAATTCCCTCTCAGTCATGTTATGTGGAACATTTTCTGCATATTTCATTTTTACTGTGAACAAAACCCAGAACAATTACAAACTGTTTCACAAATGTTAACATGGTATTTTATATCACCATTTCCTTGATGGCTTCCTTGCTTTCAGGCTGCCTCCATTCACTCCCATTAAATGGAAGGGACTGCAGTAGTTAAGCATGAGTAAACAGGCACTCATTTATGCCTATAAAACTTTGAAAAGTACAGGTAACAGTGGCCTGAACACTCCTGAATTACCCCCACACTAGGGGCCAAAATGAATCAGTGCCAGTGTTCATTACAGTGGATGGGAAATGATGGAAACAGGTTATTTTTCCTCCCAAAAGTGATTTAATGAAAAATAACAATAAACTGGAACACTAAGTAGGAGAGTGTCATGGAAATCAAACATTTACTCACAATTTAATAAACAAGAAGTCAACACAAGTGAAAACGTTTTCATTTAATAAAATCTCAGATGAACATTTTAGTTTTTCTACAGTAAGATAGCAAAAAGACCAATCTTAAATGGATGTGTTTGGTATGTAAAACACTGCTCTTACCTGCAGGGTATGTCCGAAATATGGATTCAATAATATCCGAAGTCAAGTTGTACCTCAGCCCGTTGCAGCCGTCTGTCTGAGGCCGTACATCAGCCTGAGAAAAAGCACACAGGGGAAAAAATAGTCATGTCTGGATGCTTTCTCTAACTGGAGAAGGAAAAGAACTGGCATCTTGCAAGCAAGGCCTGCTGCAGGTAAAATAATCTTCTTCCTCCAGCAATCCATAATGTATTTGATTGTACGTAGGTATTTTAGAATGTGGAATGAACAAGCAAACATGAATTACTTTATTATACTTGCCATTTAAGGGATGATTTAACAAGCAGACTGCAGGCTTTAGAAAGCAAAGCGCACTCCATTGGTGAAAACAAGGTATGTTTAATTAATTTATGCTTATCCTTGTGTCAAAGTAAAAATAAGCATACTGTATATGCCTCATGTTTTATTGTTCACTCAACAATTCACCTAGTGAATGATCAGTGGCTAGTGAGAAGTGACAAAAAAGGATTTTTGACTTATTCCCTTATAGTACAAGTATATATAGTTGTACACTAAAAACATCTTAGTATAACTGATAAGTAACACTGAATTTAAAGCTTGAGGATTAGCCTTAGTCAGAACTTTGAACTTAGATCTCAGTGATCTCTTTAGGAAGCTCTGGAAGAGGCAAGTGCTCTGTCCAGTTTTCAGGAACAGGAAAAGTACATGATTGTACAGGCTGCTGCCTTTTCCTCCTTTTCCTGTGTACCTCAAGTCTGGCTTTTGTACCATCTTCTTCCTAGGCTAACACGCATTCTGAGCAGAGCCAGTCAGATTTAACTTGAATTAGGACACACAAATATGTAAGATATCTTTTTCACAAATGCAGAGAACACAAACATAACCAGTTGGTTTAAGAACGCTTCAATTTTGAAGGTTTGGTGGATTTACTTTTCACTGTGGTCTCTTTTTTTTAACATTAAGATGTAAGAATAATGGGAGACAGGAAATCAGAGCAATCAAATTTGTTTGGCAACTGATTCAGGTATTTCCAGAGGGGCCGGGGGGAACCCAAATGGTTGTATAGCAGCCAAATTAAAAGAATTCCTACCTCCTCTTCCCCTCCCAAATCCACTGTGTGCACAGTCATTACAAAGGTGGAAGTGGGATTCCATCTAGAGTCCCATCTGTGAATTTTGTAGCAGAAGCAGAAACATGTCTCTGTGTGAGCAATCTGATGTTGTACCTAGATTACTTTTAGATTGCACTGAATTTACTGAAGCACAGGTTCTACAAATGGGTAAAATAACTGAAAGTTAGAGAAAAAGAGAGAGAAAATGAGCTTCCAGATACACAAGTTGTTCTTCAAGTAGCTGAAAGCATGTACTGGTTTAAAAAACTGATGAGGGAATAAAACCCTTATGTGGAAAGGTTCATTTATGCATGTCAGTGCTGTCACAGATACACTCTTTAATTTATTGAGCTCATACATTTTAATCTAGTGACCATATATTCACATCACTCCTATTTTACAGAAGGCAGAGCAGCAGTACAAAAACCATCTGCCTATTGGCAATTTAAAGTTCAAACTGGGCATCTTAAACTGACAAAATGTTGACGTTCCAGATTAGCAGGAAACCTTTTTTTTTTTCCTCCTTTACACTTGGACTAGCAGAGAGATGTTGAGGAACTAGGAAAGTACAACATTCATGAACATGGTAATAAAGTGCATGAGCAGAACTCTCACCAATTTGTTTGCTCTAAAATCCTGTAAGTTAAAAGTTCAACGTACCAGGAATGCTGCAGAGATGCCCACATCCTGCTTGTTAGGTGCTGCAGAATTATCCCCTGCATTCAGGCTTAAACGGTTGGCCCAGAATTCTTCAGCACTGATTACTTGGCTCACAACGAGGTCTTTATAGAGCTGAAACAAAACGGGATCTTCTTGCAGCATTCTGGTAAAAGAATGTATTGAATAGAATTGAAACACTGCAGAATAAATCACTAGTATTTCCACAACTAACACAAGTTCACAAAAGGAACAGAAACCAACTTTTCTTTCAAAATGCTGTGCATTTCTTAACAGGACTGTGTAAACAACCAATGTCAATAGCACTGCTTGTCTGAAAAGACTTAAGAAATGGATGTTAACACCAAAAGTTAGAAAACAGTAATGCCTAAGAAAAAGTTAATGTGGGATTCATGTCTTGTCCTAAAATATTCTGTGGTGCTTTTGTGTCTTTGCAGACCAGGAGTGGAATCTCCTGAACTGTAAAAGCACAAAGAATATTCTTGCTGTTCCATAACAGAAGTATGATGAGGGATAAAAAAAAGATTTCAGCACTGTCCAATTCTTGGTTTAAGATCTTAAAATTCAGTAGCTACAGATCTCTATTCTAATGCAAGAGTATAGATCACAAAATATGTATGGGACAAGATCCCTTAAAACACATTACCCCAATGGTTGTTCATTTATGTTTCTGTGGTAGCAGTAGGATCTTCATCCCTTAATCAGACATAGCACAAGTGTGAGACACATTCCGTGTCACTACTTCCACCAGGGAGCAATGTTTACAAAAGTTATCATCCACATATCAGGTATCACTACCCAAAATGCAAAGACTTTGCACCTGAATCTTCACTCATGCTTAAGCAGCTGTTTTTACAGCTGTGTACCATACTGGAAACCCACTGGGCTATTTTCAGGGAAGCATGCATGTGTGTTCATGTTCTGCCAATTACCTCACCAGCCTTTAGCACGTACCTCAGAGTCTTGATCAATTGCAAACAATGAAAAAAACCCAGTCTTATGGATACATGGTCTAGGGATGAACGTGGATAAACTGCAGTCTGGACAGAATGAAAGCCTTTAGCTGCTTTAAGGACAAAGTAGGATGAGGTGGAAGTGAAAGCTTTGTGACAGGATTATTATGTTGTAACCAGCAGGGTTTCTCCAGTTTTTCTTACTGTTGCAAGTATGGAGTAATGGCAATTCTTACAAATTAGTGCAGCTGAAAGCAGTCTGTTATTCTTGTTATTTCATCAAAGCTTGGAATTTTGGTACGTACTCAACTCCCACATATCAAAAACTGAAGGAAGTGCCATGGGGACTCTGGATGCAGTACCCCTCCCACAACAGGCTGGATCTTTTCTGCCTTATCTGTTGCAATTAAGCTAATGAAGCCCCATCACCAGACTTGGGCTTCTAAGAGAATAAACTATGGCCGAGTAGGTGCAGGAATTCTAGCTTTTCTGTAACTAGAAAAGCTCCTGATACTTCATGGTGTGATGCTGTAAGCTCCATTTAAGGAGGCAAAGATTCAGAGCTAAGACTGCCTGTGTTCTCGGCACCAATACTGTCAGAAAAAAGGCACATAGCATAAAGAAACAAGTACGGGAACAGTGCCAGTGCAGGCTGCACTGCTGCAGACCCTAGTGGTTGCTGCAGTACTGGAACCAGTTAATCCTGATTGTGTCACAGCTCCAGCACAAGGGCTCTTGCCCTTCTGCTGGGAAATCTCCTTGTTAAGATCCAGTCTGTCTCTTGAGGCAATGCTCTCACGTTTTGAAAAATCTGTGTTCAGAGCTAGAAGAGCCTTTGGAAATGGAAGCCATAGACACAGGATTCACAGCAGACACTAAAATGAAGTGAAACTTGTCAGGGCAGATGTAGAGAAGAGAGTCTGTGGCCACAGGGATTGCATTAACACAAACATTTTAAAGGAACGGAAATGTATCTCAAGAGCCCATGTGGGAAAAGGACTTAGATCCTCAATATCTTCTCAAACAATTTCTTAGACTAAACATCCTGTATGCCAAATAACAAACTGCAGCCTCTCAAGTGAGATGCATGAAAATACCTAACAATTTAGTAGTCTATAAAACATCGGGAAAGATTTGAGGGGCAAATGAGGCTTTATGGGGAGGAAAAAAAAAACCACCAGGCTCCACAAAATTTCTGGAAAAGGAAAAAAAAAAATCTTTCAAGCAGCTTTTCTAACTAATACACATATATTTAAGAAGAGTAAAGAGACAGGCTGCCAGCTGGGTGCTCTCCTCTCATAGCTATGGATAAGAAAGACTGGGTGGCAGCCAGACTGGCTGCCTTTACACCTCAAGAACGTGTCACTAAGCACACAAGCGTAGTCTCAACATCTGACAGTTATGCAAGTCTCAAGGCACTACCTTGAAATTGAAAGCAGGGAGATTTTTACTAGGGAAACAAATGCTGTATCACTCATGATGTTGAAATAACAACAACTGTTAACAGAAATACACAATAGTTAGCTAACAGAAGAAAAGAAAATGAACAGATTTTTATGCTGCTATCCCTTTACCTGTTCTTCTCCTCAAGCTCTTTATTAGCTTTCCTTTTGAACTTGGGCAAGAGCTGTTGAAGAAGATCCTTGACCGCATCTCGCTCCTTCACTGCTGTGCTTTCATTGGAGAAGTGGAAGTTGGTTGTGTCCCCTGCATGCAATACCAGCTGCAGCTGAATTTTAGCTTTACCTTCTGGACTGATTTTCTGGCCTAGATTGCAGAGAGACAGACAGCAAGCTTATACAAGAAACTGCCTTCCCTAGAGTATTTGCTCATAAGCAGTTATTCTCATCATCCAATTAAATACCATTATCCTGCGTGTGAATTGCAGCTGTGAAAATGGAACAGTCAGTCTTCCCCTTGAATTAGTTTCAACCCTGCACCTTGTTCACTCTAAAATACAAGACACAGACAGTAGCAGCCTGTTGCTTAATATCCTTCAGCTCCTGCTCAGGAGTCCTGATTCATCTTTGCATTGCCCACAGCATCCATTAGAAAACGGCTACAAATGAGGCTGTCATCACCTGGACACTTTAACCTGGAAGCAATCCAGGCTGCTGCTGAAAGGTGACCTCATTCCCCCTTTCCACTTCCTCCTGCTGCATTACTTGTTTGATCGCTGGTGTTTGTGCAGCAAGCTGAACCAAGGAAGTGATCCAGTGAAAGGCACCCCCTTTTGTTTTTCCAGCTGGCCCAGCTCCTGCAGAAGGACAGTGGCAGGAAAGCAGACGTAGGGTGGGTAGGAGCACATCTGGATCCCAGTTTCCAGTGGTGAGCTAAGTGCAGTTAGCCACTAGTGCTCCCCAAGTTAATCACCAGTGCCTCCAAGGTACTACTACAACCTCATGACTCATAAGAAGAGTCTAATTCCTGCTTCCATCCTCATAACCAGAGGGAAGCCTATATTATGGACTGCTGTGCTATAGTGACTTTAGTGAAGCACTGCAAATGGCACTAATCTAACTTTTAATGTCAGCCCTTTCGCTAAAGCAAGTGGGAGACAGGAACCATATATCAACACTAAATCACCTTCTCTATTGCAAATTTACAAAACATCCCAAATTTTTTTATTTCAGATGACAAAAAGCACATCTTTCATCTAAGTTAAAAATACTTCAGTGCCTATACATGTACATATTTAAAATACAAGGTGCTTAAGTGTAAGTTGATAGCTGAATAAAACCTTCACAAGATTATTATAGGTGAGCAGGGCTTTTAAACTTATCACTTTCATATTTAAGAAAATATCATCTTAGTTCTGATTCATCACACACTTTTGACCGTGCTGCAGTGCTTGTATGTCACTTTAAACAGCAATAATCACTAAACCATTACCAAGTGACACACACAACTCGCTTTTTATTCCTTCTTTGGCATTAGAGCACATGAAATATGAGCACTAATTGGAGCCAGAAAGGCAGCATGCTATAGACATCTACTGTTTAGTTTTGACTTGCAAGTACTCTGCTGTTGCAACAGCAAATTCAGAATGATACCAGCTAGGCCAAACTACAGAAGCTGACACTTCTGAAGCTATGGTCTGTTGGAAGAAAATAAAACTGAGTTCATTTTATATGAAAATCGAAACAGCTTTAGATACTGTTAACAGATGACATGCCAGATAGTTTCTGTGTTAGACTGAAAATCCTATATGCTTCCTTGATCCTCCTCCCACCCTTCCCTCTACAAGCATATGGCATAGATTATTTTTCTGTTCAATTTACTGCAGAAGTTTATCAAAGTTAATAGTAAATGCAGCAGATCTAAGTTAGACATCTGGAGACTACAGAAGTTGTGTCCTAGCATCCTTAAGCTGGTGATACTTTACCACAGTCCTGATCTCTGCTGCTACAGAGTAGCCTGGCCACCTTCCTGAGGCAGCAACACCTAGCATTCCACGCACAGCAGGTGAGCTTCGTGTGATTTAGCACCGGTGGCAGTGGTGCTGAGGGCTCACTCACATTTGATGTCCGCATACATGTGGCTGACGGTGAAGCGGTCCTTGCCCTCGGGCGCCCAGGCAATGCGCTCGGCCATCAGGTACAGGGCCCCATCCTGCTTCTTCTGACGCACCTTCTTCACTATCAGCAACACTTCTTCAGATGAGGTTGCCATTGTGGCTACAATGAGCTGTTTAAAACATAGAGTTGAGCTGATTAGCTGTGCTGTAACTCTTTCACTACTCCTATCTGTATTAAAGTATTGCGGCCCATGTTTACTTGTTCATGCCTATATCATTTTGGGAGTATTTCAGATAAATGTGCTCCCCTCTTTCAGTACAATCAGCAAATTTATTTAAACAAAATACTCCCACCTGCCTAAAAAATTAATCTCACTATATTGCTGATACTGCTTTTGCTCCACTAAAAGATCCACAAATCTTACATTTAAACTGATAACTAAATTTTCCTTTTACTGGTTTGTCTAGTTCAGAAGAATACTGAAGCTAAGCAATGACAAATTCCAAATCTTCCCTGGCACTGGCAGCAATTCCCTTCTTCAAGTGGGAATGGCAGATGCTAAGTCATTTCAGAAAAGGGGAGGACACAAGGTATGTGAAAAGTCATGGATTTTCAGTTCACTGTGCTAAAGATAAGGTGGCCCAGTAAGACTCAGGTGTTCTTATTGTGGTGGGTTTTGCCCAAGGCTTGAACAATGTTTTGTACACTTGACTGCAGCTGGCCAGTCCCTCTCCTCCAAAGTCTGAGGAACTAATGTTACATGTACTGCAGCACAATGATAATTCTGTCAGCAGTCTCAAACCAACAAGACTTTGGATACTTGCTGCATTGTTCTCCCCAGCAGTCACTATCGTGCCTCTCTCCAGGTTCACCCTACAGCCTTAAATTTTTCAAGACATAAAGGATATGGTGAGTATTGCACTCTGTCAAACTTACTGTTGGTACACTTATCAAAAATGTACATCTTTACTGAAAATTCTTAGTATGTCCAGTTGCTGTATTTTGTGTATCACAAACTTTACTACTGATATGCAAAATAATGTTTTTCCAATGCTAACGTGGATGTTGCATGTGCTTCAGAATGCTTGTAATATTTGCTGGGATGCATGCTGAAGTTCAGATTGTAACCTGTATCTGCTATCACACTACTAGCAGGTATCAAAAAGTGGTAGTTCTAAGCATTCAAATTCACATACTTTTTTTTCTTAAAAAAACCTAGCAAAATAACAGAACACCAACCAGCAGCAAGATAAGACATTTTATTCTGACAATTTGGACAGTAGCACACCATTCTCTTCAGAAGTCTTACAAGCTCCTGTGCAATGAGTTAAGTAACACACTAGATGGAAAGATGAAATGGCAAAAGGGCTCTGCACTTACACTTTGCTCCTTCACCATTCCAGCCATCCAAGGCTTTGCTAAAGAGTTCAGTCATGCTGAGCTGAATGTGGGGTTTCACATCAGCACCACTGCAGCAGTCACTAGAACACGCTGTGCCACATTCAGAGCATCCTTGGTAATACTTCTTCCTCAAAGAAAACTGCATGGCATGATTTCAGGACTGTTCCCTAGCATAATCCATTACAGTCTCCCAGCAGCATTATTCCCTTTCAGTGCTATTCACACAACCATTTTATGTAGTTTCCTGTTGCGGGTCTGCAGCCTCACAGGCACCTTATCCTTACTGGAAAAAGGCAGCTGGCCACAGACTCTCAGAAACTGGAAACCTCACCATGCAAGACTAGGGATTTGATATTTTTCTCCCTTTGTTACTTTATAGTCCTTTAAGGTCATTATTATCCAATGCAATGGAGGCAAAGCCACAGAACACAAAGGAATTCAACCTGTACAGAACAGCAAGAAAAAGGAAAGCATTTCCACAGTCAGGCTCATTCTGGTGCCAGCTGCTCTGCTTTTCTGCCACACCATTTCACCTACCTACACCCAGTCTTTCAACTACAGAAGCAAAGAATCAGCAGCTACCAGCTTCTCCTTTAGATCCCTTCTAGTACCCTGCAGTGTGCAATCTGTGAGAGCACAATTATCCCGCAAGTGGCTCATTCCACCTTCTGGGAGGGTGAGCACATGGCTCATGCTGTTCTTCTTTCTGTCACTGCTGTACTTCCTTTTTCCTGCAGTAATTTACAGTGGCAGTGGGATGATACAACTCACAAGCACAGTAAGCGTTACCCAAAATGGAGAAAACCCTGAGCTGTCTTTTGAACAGTACCTCAGAAAGAATAAAAAAAGCTATTAATAACAGGGATTTAGGAAGGTTACAGTCTGTCACTAATAGAAACAAAATGGCTTCGTGTTACAAGAAGTACAGGAAAAATTCTAAAATAGGAATCTTACTTCAAGATTTCATTCCCTGTCTCCTACAGGGAAGGCTACATCCTTGCTAAGCAAAGCACACACAGCTCAGCTTTTTTTTTTTTTGGGCATGTTAGACTTACTATGCAGCAGAGAGCCATCAATGATGTACTTGTGCCTGCCCAAATGGCATAACCTCTACATTTAACATCTGAATCTGCCAGGAATCAGTACTATGGATGATGACACTGCTGCTGTGCAGGGCAAGAACTGCCACATGCACACAGAGAAATGCTGCTATTTTGTGGCTTTAAGTGATAATTTTAACCTGCTACAGCATTAGTGTTCTTCAGCAGCTGGTTCAAGTATCTTGCAGAATAGGAAGGTCAGACAATTTGTTTTAAAATCCCTAGCAACAGAGCTTGGTCAACAGTTCTAAAAGCACTTGGATCAACCTGAAGCCCTAACAATGAGGTACAACTTGTCATCAGGCCTGTCTTGGGGATGTCAATTTCGGCTGCAGTTTACAATAGGCAAGGTCTATCAGGAAGCTTCAGTGTTGGCATAGACCAAAAGAAATGCTCTGTGTGCTTACCCACCTACAAGCCCTCCCCTCCCAGCTCAGTGGGAGCAAACAGCTTCTGGAAATACCGTCAAATTCCAACAGCTATCTTTCCTCCATTGTGGGGAATCTTCCTAACCAGTCTTATCTTAAGATACAGTACCTCTCATTTGTGTTTTTTACAACACCTGTTCTGAACATTCTCCATTACCAGCACTTCACTCCAGTGTCTTTCCATATGGTAATGCCGAGCTCTGAGCAGAAATAAAGGAAATGTTTGCAGGCTTTAATATTCCTGACTTGGCCAGGGTGGGCACGGGCTGGCAGGCAAGCTCTGACAGATCAATGCAGGCCTTTCTGCTGCTGGGCTTCCGCTCCCCGCAGGCAACAGCAGAATCATGGAATGTCTGTGCCAATGGCCCAGCCTGACCCGCAGCGGCACAGGGACGCTGCCAGCTCCGGGAGCGGGCCGAGCGCTCACCCGCGGGGCGGCAGCGATCTGTCAGCGGGATGGAGAAGCGGCAGCAGCGCCGCTCGTCCCGGGCACGTCGCGGGGGATGCACGGTCCTGAGGGGCCAGCCCGGCCTTCCCCCGATCCGCATCACCACGCTCCGGGAGGGATGTCACCCTGCCACGAGACGGGCCCGAGGACACCCGCACGGTCCCGGCGGGGAAGGCGCTGCCCCGGCACCTCTTTGTCTGCCGCCCGCGCCGGGGCGAAGCCCGGTGCCCCCGGCAGCGGTGCCGCCGGCGCAGCGCTGCCGTCTCCCCGCCACCCCCCGGGGAGCGCGGATCGGCGGTGCCGCCGCCCCTTTCGTCCCTTCCCTCACCGCAGCTCCGGCCCGGCCACCGTCACACGCCCGCCGGGCAGGAAGGAAGCGCGGGAGGCCAAAGGCCGCCGCGGCACCAACGCGACGCGGTCCCGCCGCCCCCGGGGACGGATCGTCGGGGCAGCGCGGCCTGCCCCGCGCCGCCGTTCCCCCGCGCCCCGCGCCGGCGGCTCTTACCGTGCGGGCTGCGCCGGGAGCTGCTCCGAGTGCGGGCGGCGCTAAGGGGGTCGGGCCGCGGGGCGCCGGGGGTGGGGCCCGCACCACGTGACAGGGGAGCGGCTCCGAAGCCGCGCGTCCCCGACGGTCACGTGGCGCCCGCGCCCCTCCCGGCCCCCGCCCCGGTCACGTGGCGGCCGCTCCCCCGTCGCCATGACGGCGGCGGGCGGAGGGGGCAGTTACGCGGCAGTGAAACGGTACCGCCGCCGCCGCACAGTGGAGGTGGCAGTACAGGAACGGCCCCGGCCCGCGCGCCGGGAGGGAGGGGGCGCCGCGCGCGTCACGGCGTCACGTGGCCGGCGGGCGGGTGCGCGCGCGTGACGCCGCTTCCTCCTCCTCCCACTCCTCCTCCTCCCGCGCGGGCGGCGCGTGATGCGGAGCGGAGCGGGCGCGCGCTCCCTGACCCGCCCTCCCGCGGGTCACGTGGGCGCGCTGTTTGGAGGCGGCGGCGTGAGCGGCGCCGGGAGGGAGCGGCACCGGGAGAGCGCCGGGCGCGGTGAGGCGGCGGCGGCGGCAGGGAGAAGGAGCGAGCGGTGCTTCCTTGCCCCGCCGGGGCTCGGCTCTCGTCCCCTCCCCGCGGTTTCCGAAGGGGCTGGCGGGGTTCCTCTGTCCTTTGCGATCCTTCGCCGTACGCCGGGTACGGGAGACAAACGCCGCGGTGTCGCGGCTCGGCCCCAGCCGGCAGCTCAGCGCCACACGGGCGGGATGTGGCAGAGAGCGGGCAGGGCTGAAGTGGCCATTAAGGTTTTTAAGACGTTTTGAGAATTCAGAAGAAATAACTTTTAGTTTCGTTGGCTAAATGTGCCTCTTCCCTTTCCCTAGTGCCTGGTGAGAGTGAGCGCTCGCTTTCCTTTAGAGGAAATGTAAATTTCCCCCATGACGGCTTTTCTGGGAGGGAGTTCCTTAATTTATGGGACCGCTAATGATACTGAAGGTTACTTAGCAATTCCGGGACTTGCCTGTGCAGTGCAACAGGTTTGGCGTTTTGTTAAGCAATGTACAGGTTTAAACTCAATAAGAAGTTATTTTAAAGTGTGTGCTGCTTAGGAAAAACATGAAGTTGTGATTTTAGTGGTTATTTAATTCCTACTTTTCATTCTGTGTTATCTCTTGAATGCGGGAAAAGACGAGAGGATAGCTTATAATGGTATCAAAATGCACTAATGCAGCTAATTCTAAATTTAGTATAACTTGAGAATAGCACTCCTTAAATTTACTTTTGGGGGAGAATATGATGTAGTTATAAAATGCCAAAGCTAAATGTTTTCCTTGAGAAAGTTAGTTTCAAATCAAGGGTGCATGCTGTGGGGAAAAGTGAATTTTTCCAGAAAACAGGGTGTTTTCTGTAGGTACACGTTAACTTGTTTCACAGATACATGTAAATATAACTACAGTTTAAATATTTCCAGGTGGGTTATCTGATAGGTTAAGTTTTCAGAAACGAACTTGAACAAAAACTTCTCATAAATGGAGTAGGACTCTTATTTTCCAGCCTTTGGGCCTCTTTTTGCTGAGCTGAAACCTGATGGCTTTTGAGTAGGAAAACACTTGTTGTTTCTTTAAGCACAGAACACCAGCTCAAATACTAAAAAGTGAACTAATTGAGAACTTTGTTTTTGGCAGGTACAGCTAAAAGCTGAAGCCGTAACGCACCCATGAGTGAGCAGCACTAGTCGTGTGCATCCATGGCCTCTGTGCCAGTAATTCCAGACTCTTACAACCACGTCTTGGCAGAGCTGGAGTGTTTGGATCCGTTGCTTTCTGCACTCAGGTTGGATTCCAGTCGCCTCAAGGTGAGTTTGTGCTGTAGGGCTTTTTTTATTTTAATTTTTAAAAAAAAAATCAAGTAATGACCCCATTTGGCTAATTATTTGATCAAGCCATAGGATTAATCTAACTCTTTTTGGGGTGTGTGCATGCTGTCTTAGTGGGGGGAGTACTTTGGGAAGAAAGAGTGAAGATAATGGGCCCTGTTCCTCTGTGTGTGTTTCCTTAGTGCATCTGTGGGTACGTGACACAGCCTGACACGGCTTCACTGTTTGCTCCAATTGCAAAGTGCTGTTTAATAATCCTCACTGCCAGTGGTTCAGGAGTGATACACACAGCTGGCAAATAATGAAACCTTTAAAAAACCCACCATAATAATGCAGGAAAAAGATGCTGTGATCAGAACTTACCAGGTTTTGTATTGTGATTTTCATTCCTTCAGTGCACGTGTATAGATGTATCAAAGAGATGGCTGGCTCTAGGCAGCTCAGGAGGAGGACTGAACCTTATCCAGAAGGATGGTTGGAAGCAAAGGCTCTTTCTCACTCACAAGGTAAGGATAAAAATTTTAAATGAAAATTTCCAAAAATGGGGCCTGGAAAGAAACATTATTTCAAGTTAATGTATTTTAAGAGTCAATAGGTGCCTTCAGCTTACTGGGTTGTCCAAAGAAGGTGAAGTTTTGCACTGCTGTGTTTAAAATAGGTTGTGGTTCTGGAGGGTATCCCCAGAGTATGTGGCATATTAGATTTCATGAGGTGTGAAAAATACTACTTCAGAGTGTCAGACCTTTGTTTTTCAAATTCCTACTTTTTAACAGCAACAACAAAGTCACCTGAATATTTAAGGATTGGAAGAAAATTTTGAATATGAAACCAGAGCAACTCACAAGTGGATAACTCCAAGTGTTTGAGTGTTCAAACTGTGACATAACTGGATAAGTGAAGAAAAGATAGGCTGACTTACTGTTGCTGGAAGAGACTGTGAAACAAGGATTGTTACTTGTACAGCCAGGTGCTATTTCCTAGGAGCCACCGCTGCTTCCAGCGTAGCATGAGTGCAGCCAGTTTTTTAAGGCTGGGAGCACCTCACTTAATTCTGTCAAAACAGCTTCCAGAGGTGTGAGGACAGAAGAGTGATTTCTGTGCTTCCCAAGTCGGAGAATGCACTGCAGTCCTTGCTGTTGATGTTGTGTTGTTGTCAGCTGCATCTTGGAGTAAACTCAGTGTTTGCAAACAAAACCCAGGCAAACAGCAAAAACCAACCACATCACAGCAGGGTGGTAGCATCTGTTGGCATGAATCTGGTTTGTATGTTGAAGATGGAGGCTGCACAGTGGAGGTGGCAGTACAGGAACAAGTCTCACCTGCTCTTACTCCTGTGCTTGCTTTCAGGAAGGTGCCATTTCCCGGGTGGCCTGTTGTTTGCATGATGAAGACTATGTTGCAGTTGCCACCAGGTGAGTGATCTACTCACAAACCTGAGCACTGGATTAATATTTTTAAGAAGCTTCAAGTTTCAGATGTGGACAGCTACTGAGAACTCAGAGTTAACTTACCAGGTTAACTGGAAGAGGGCACTACAGGATAACTCTCTGTACAGACAGTTTGCTTAACTTTTTTTTCTAGAATAATCATTTTAGGTTAAGTGTTATTTCTGTAACAGAATATCTGTGGCAGAGCTCATGGATGTGAAATTATGATGATAAATGTCTTGCTTAGACCTTTCAGCATGAAAAGAAGCATTTTCATTAACATGGTAGTGTGAGATTGATAGTTAATTCCACTTATATTTATTAAAATCCATTTAAATGGTTTTCCACATCCTCACTGGCAAGTGTAATAACTGTGAGAGTAGCCTTACAAAACTGCTTATACATTGTAGTGCAACGAAGGACACTTACTCTTCTCTGGAATTAAGTGGGACACTTGTTGAAAGCATGCAGCCTCAAACAGAACCAGCTCTGAGGTGTGCTGCTTTGCTTGGGTCTCCTCTTTCTTTGGGAAAATGCGTCTTTATTAACTGATAAAAACTTTAGAAGGCTTATTTTCAACCTGTATTCTCTTTTTAACTTGTAGCCAAGGCCTTGTAGTAGTCTGGGAGCTGAACCAGGAACGTCGTGGGAAGCCAGAACGGATTTATGTTTCATCTGAGCATAAGGGCAGGAAAGTCACAGCTCTGTGCTGGGATACAGCTGCCCTTCGAGTTTTTGTAGGAGATCATGTGGGAAAAGTATCAGCCATCAAGATTAACACATCTAAACAAGGGAAGGTAAAGTGTTGCATACTTTGAGCTTAATTCACAGGGGGTGATGTGTGGAATCTCTTTTGTTTATTTTGGCAAAGTGGAACAGAGCAGGACTTGATAGCTAATGAAGTTCTGGTAGCTTTAACTATTGGGATGAAGAACCAGTCTCTTGAGACAACCATAGAAATCCTGACCCATGAACTCACCCCATCCTTATTCTATTTCTGTATCTATTTCAGTAATGCAATTTGAAATTGCTTTCAAATATTCAGAATTAAAAACTGGTCAGTCTCCACTTCTTGGAATTTACAAGTATCAAAGTTAAGGGTCTTGGTGTTTCTGAGCTTATTATGTTCCTTAGACTCCAGCTAC